TCAAAATTTGCAAGAAAGAACAAAGTAGCGAAATAACTAATATGCTTTTGAGGGAGGATAAGTTGGAGTGTTTAAGTTTACCAGCTATCAAGATATATTATGAGCCCATAGGTAAATAAAACAATGTAGGAATGGTAAATGATAGACACTTATGGCAGCAGAAGATAGTATTAAGTCCAGAAAAAGAAGCGTACATTTCTGTTAAACTTGAATGCAGCAGCAATGAAGAGTATTAGGGAAAAGAAAGAAAATGAATTTTCCATATAAAAATTATGGAATGGATATAATAACAAATGAATGCTGGGTAAAGTATAACTATTAAAAACAAACTTTTAAAACTTGGGTATATATCCAACTAGTGATGAGTTTTTTAAGATTTATAAGAAATATAAATATGGACAAATTGGACCAAAATAAAAGTTAAAAATCTGCTCAAAAAAAAAAAAAAAAAAAAGTAAAACTAAAAGACAAGCCACAGCCCAAGACTCTGAGGTCCCCTTTGCTGATGGATTTCTGGAAATCATTCTCTCTGTCCAACTCCCTCCTCTCTGGGGTTTTGGCTAACTGCCTTGATTTCCAGATTTTGTCTCCTCAACTTCAGACTGAGCTGGGCTTTCTGTGGGTTCCTCCTCCCTGTACTAGGTTTTGGAAATTCACCTGGACAGTAAACTGGGCAATCTCAGAGGATGGCTCACTTCATTTTCTTCCTTCAGGACCACCGTCCTTTACTACCTTGAACTTGTTTTACATATTTTGCTTGGTTTTCTAGTTATTGAAGATGGGAGTGTAAATTGGGTCCCTATTATTCCACGATGGCTGGAAGCAGAAGTATTTCTACTACCATTTTTATAGGATTTATGGAAAAACTATGAAGCGACAGAATTAAAAATGTGCATAGGAAAGATAAACAAATTTGGGAGACCAGTTACTTAAAGGGAGTGAGAAGAAAGGACTACTCTGAGATTGAGATGCTTTAGAAGAAAGAATGGCAAATTTTAGAACCTTTTTAAAATTGGTAATAACTACATGGATGTTAATTATGGTATTCTATGTACTTACATGCATGAAACATTTTATAATAAAAGTGAAAGGGTAGATAAAGGGCGACTAGGAATATTACTTAAGGGAACATCCTCGAAAGGCCAGCGCCTGTAGGCCAAAGGCGCTCCTGGGAGGAGGGATGGTCAAAGAGCAGCAGCTCCCTTGCCTCTCCTCTGGATGTCAGGAAGGCCCGGGACTCCCCTGTTGGTGCTTTCCTCTGGTACTTTCAACCCCTGGTTGACATTCCTCTGATGAAACCCTTCAAAACCCCAACTTCCACAAACACTACCAGTACTACTATCACACCGTGCTGAGTCACGGGCCCTGCCCACTGGGTCACCACTCCCTAGTTCTTAAAGACCTGAACTTTTAGGTCACTCTCCCTCTCTTGATCACCCACATAGATGACCTTTCTTTGACCCCGTCTTAGTTCTTGCCCTACTTTCTTGCAAAGATCATTGCTTGCTTGGATGTTTGCAGTTAGCCCCCCTTTTCTGTTTTTCTATAACAGGAAAAAAAATCTGATTCTGCTGCCACTTGATAAAGCCAGAGACTCAAGAGGTGATGGGAAAGGAAAGAACTTTATTCAAATAGTGTCCAAAGAATAAAGAAGCAGGAGCTGTGCTTGCAAATCAACTTCTCAACTCCAAGGAGTTGAAGGGTTACAGATACAGGTCAGGAATAATGAGGGACAGAGTCTAAGGAAGGGAAGGGATATTCGTGTCTTTTTTGGAAATAGGCTGAGATCTTCTAGGAACTAGGGTTCTACCTCTTTTTGCTTCTTTCATGGTCTGGTGTTTCTGGACATGGCAGATGATAGATGGTTTTTGTCTTGAAGAGGGAAAAAAAGAGACTTGGTAAGTCTAGGTCAACTTAACCCTATATTATAGTTCTGGACAAAACATTTCTCAGCTGATCAACATTGGAAAGAACATCCCCATGTACATGGAGAGATGAGTAAAATCTGACCCAAAGGTTAAGGCAGCAAAGGCAACAGACACAGTATGAAGGCAGAGGTGACAAGCTTTTCATCCTGCTGCAGCCACCCGCGGGACCTCGGCAGGCCAAAGGGAAGAGTCAGTGTTTCAGCAAAAGTGGCCTTCAGGTCCCTGCCCAGTAACCTAGGCAACCGTTCCCATCAAAACCCACATTAGAAGTGCTGCCTACAGCAAAGCCAGTAGGAGACTAATAATGTATCGTCCAGTGGTGTGACCTCCCAAATTAATGATTTTTAAGTTAATTTATAGCAGGTGAAGCTGCAGGGGTTATTCAGTTGCCTCAGTAACACGTCTTCAGTCATCTCTGCCCTGTCTATTCTTGACACACAGTAGCAAGCTGGTGACATCTTTTCAAAACTTCAGGTCATGTCCTTTTTCTAAGTCCTCTAGGACTCCCCATCATGTTCAGAGGAAAAGCCAAGTTCCCCTCATTGCCTTCCAGGAACCCCAGGAGTGGTTCCCGTAACCACCTCCTCTACTGCTCTCTGGTTCCCCACTAGGGCTGCCCTGCGCTCCTGGGCCTGCGGGCCCTGCTCCTGTCTCCCTTGTACCTACTGCTTCCGCAGCCTAGCACGTTCCTACCTGGTATCTGCATGGCCTCCCCCGTCTCTCTCTCTTGTTGAGAGCCACAGCCTCTCAACACTCTCTCACCTCCTTTACATCTCTGCTCTTCAGTTGTGCCTTCTCCACAAGGCCTTCCCTGGCCACTTTATTTAAAATGTCCCCTCCACCCTCACAGTACTCTCTCTGCTTCCCCGCCCCTAGCAGGCACCTCCTTCTCGGGTGCCATGTAATTTATTTCTTTGTGCTTTGCCTGTTTCCTCCACTGGTATGCACTCTCCATAAGGACAAGGATTTTTATTGGCTCTACTTATTGCTGTAATTCAGGTGCTTGCAACAGTGCCTGGCGCAGAGAAGATAAGATCAAATACTTCCAGAGGGGCTGGGATTGTGGCTCAGCGGTAGAGTGCTCGCCTAGCACAGGCGGGACCCGGGTTCGATCCTCACACCACATAAAAATAAAGGCATTGTGTTGTGTCCATCTACACCTGAAAAATAAATATTAAAAAAAAGAACTGCTTGGCCTCGCAAGGGGCTGCTACATGGTCCGCTCCCCTCCCCACCCACCTGCACCTGCCTCCCCTCAGGCACCTTCCAGTTCAACAGGCCACTGCTCTGCTTCTCCTCCATTCGTACTGCTATAACAAAACACCTGAGACTGGGGCTAATTTGTAAAGAATAGAAATTTATTTCTCACACTTCTGGAGGCTGGGAAGTCAAGGTTCTGGCAGGTTTGGTGTCTGGTGAGGGCTGCTATCTGTTTAACAAGGCATCCTGTGACTGTGTCCTTCCAAGTAGGTGGGGGCTCTGTCCTCACATGGCAGATACTATCACATTAGCCATTACATTTAAACATGAATTTTGGAGGATGAGTTCAGACCATCGCAGCCGCTTCTAAGTTGTTCTTGGGTTCTGGGTTGGGGCACTGTGGCTGGCTCCTGTGCTGGACTCCAATATTGGCATCGGCTAAGCCTTTCTGTGGGGAGCCATCCATGGGCTTCATGTGGTAAGAGCATCTGTGTCTGGGAATGACCAGTGGACCCTTCCTCTGGTTAACTGCCCTGACACATTGTGAATTCCTATCCCACTCTGCCAAGTCCCACACAGCACCTGAGACAGGTGTGACCTGCCAAGATGCCAATCAACCTGCTGACTACAAGATATCCTGAAGCATGATTCTGCCCCTTAACCTTATCCCTGCCTTTAATGTACCCCCTTAAGTAAACCACTGGAGCCGTCTTTCCTTTGTCTACTTCCAGCTCTCGTGTGGAATGGACCTATCAGGGGGCTCTACTTTTGTAAATACATTTCTGACTCTTTGTCTTTTGTTCTTCACTAATTATTTCAGACTTTTAAGTTCTCAGGTGGTTTACACCCTCCTCCGCAGGAAGAAGAACCCCCCAGTGAGAAACTGGTGGTCGCTCCCTATACCTTTTTTTTCCTTAGACTGTGTCATCTCTTGCTTCCTCTTTTTATCCAGCTCTTGAGCTGCTGAGGATCCCAGGGGAGGAAATAATATTAGTAATTATATTGGCCAGGTAGGCTAAACTGCAATAACAGTTTGACCAAGAAGGTAAATCTTAGGCTCACTTATTTTTTGTCTATACTGTGAATTCTTTGTGTTTCTCTAAGGGCCTGGACTGAGTGAACTAGCTCTGATTGAGATTTCCAGGGGACAGATCCCTTAAAGACAGAGGAGAGACTCCCTTTTCTCTGCATCTGGTGGTCATGTTCTTTTCACATGGCTGCTTTAACGGCAAGGACCAAGGGGCATGAAAGACAGAAAGGTGTGGGTGGGGAGAACTGTGAAGTATTTAAAAATGTACTTGCAAGCTGGGTGCAGTGGCACACACCTGTAATCCCAGCCACTTGGGGGGCTGAGGCAGCAGGATCGAAAGTTCAAAGCCAGCCTCAGCAACTGAGTGAGACCCTATCTCAAAATAAAAAAATTAAAAGGGTTGGTGGATGTGGCTCAATGATAAAGTGCCCCTGGGCTCAATCCCCACCACCAGAATAAATAAAAAGCAAATAAAAATGTATTTGCATTATTGATAATGTTAATGACAACAACAACAAATGATATGACCAGCATCTATTAAGCACTTTGTGTGTGCCAGGCCCTCTTCTCAGTGCTCCTTCCTCAACATCTCCCTTCATCATCACAATAACTCTATGTGTACTTATTTTAGTCTCACTTTGCACCACGGCAATTGACTGTTAGCAAGGTGAAGGGAGCGACATGGGCCCCAGAGTTGGCAAGTGACAGAGCTGGATTTCAGATGCTAGCCAGCACCCAGGGTCTGGGCCTGACCAGTGCACCTCTTGACCTCTAGGCAACACCCCTCAAGCCATTAGGTCAAGGAGGCAAATCATCGTGCTCTGCCACAGTCCTGGTGCCTCATGGGGCTGGAGGGGTCTGCTCTCCCCTTCATGAGCACCCTGACCCCAAGTGGGTTGTCCCATGGTGCGCCTACCCTCAGCCTCTCCTCAGAACCTTGTCTCCCTCTACTTCTGCTTCTCTCGTCTCTGGCCCCACATATTTCCAGTCTGTTTCCGTCTCTTGGTGAAGCTTTACAAACAAAATATAAATTTAGCCAAGTGCTCATACCACAAAAAGGGAAGAAGGGGCAAGTACCAGCAGCAGGCAGAGCCCGGGGTTCACCCTGCTGCTGGGCACATGGGCTTTGAAGAGCGGGCAGGGGAAAGCAGTTCCTCGGGTCTGTGCTCTTGGGCATCTCCAGCCTGCCCCTCCCAGCCACCTCACTCACACCAAGGCTGGATGTCCCGGGCTCATCCCCCAACAGCAGTGACTTTTCCATCAAGCAGAATGCCTGAGGATTCAGGAAGGCCTCCCAGCTCCAAGCTGTTATCAGAGGTCACTTCCTTTGGATTAACTATTGCATGTCTTACTCTAACAATTTAAGTATCTGAGTTTTATGTGGTAGTGTGGTCGGGCTGAGTGAACTAGCTCTGATTGAGACTTCCAGGGGATAGTGACTTTGATGGGCAGTGGCCCATGGTGCAGGTCAGCCAGTGCGAGGGGCTGTGAGAGGACTCGAGGCTGCTGTGTCCCTCTGCAGGGGAGGACTCCATTAGCACCTTGGGCCTGATCCTCAGCGTGGGGCTGTCACTGCTGCTCGTGTCCATTCTCGGCTACAGCCTGGCCAAGTGGTACCAGCGTGGGTACTGCTGGGAGGGTAAGTGAGCACTGGCCCCCGTCACCCCAGCTCTGCCCGGCCCCACCTGTCCTGTAGCGGTTGCCAAGGCAGCGGAACTGCCAGTCTTGAAGCACTGCGGGATGCAAAATTCTTTCCTGTGGCAGTTCTGTGGTTGAAGCCTTGACTGGGTAGCTGAGCGCTGAACTGGCTGGGGTGGGGCAATGTGACCTTTATTGAAAGAATGGGGGCTCCTCCCACCCCAGCAAACAGCCAGCTTCCCCTTTCTTCATGGCCCACAGGGGTCTCTCCCAGGGGCCTGTGTGGGCCCTCAAGGCCAAGGGCAAGGGACTGGCAGGCCAAGTTCCAGGTGGTCCTGTCTGGCTCCTGGGAGACCCTGCCCCATCCGTGGGTCCTGGGTCCTCTCCTAAGCGTGCCGACGTTCCAGCTTCCCCGGGAGTCTCCTGGAATTCACTGAGGTGTTTTCAATTCTAGGGACAAATCTGTGCTTTTCATAGGACTCTGGGAAAGTGGGAGGGACATGATGGAATGACGAGAGGTAGTGAAAATTTCTTAGATCTATAGTAAACTTTAACTGGTGTCTACAAATATTTGTTAAGCACCTACAATGTTTTGCCTAATATTATTCTTTTTAAAAAATTCCACAGGAGGACAAAGTTATTATAGCTTCCATTTTTGAAGTAAAGGAGGATGTGAGGCTAAAGTCACAGGGGTGGAAAAGAATGGAGTGGGATTGAAACCGAGGAGGCCTGGTTCTTTTGAACTCTAGGCTGGCACTGCCTCCCTCCCAACAGGGGCAGGGCCCTTAGAAGCCTTGGGCCCTCACACGGCATCCCAAGGCCTAGTCATCTGCTCCTCCAGACAGGGGTGAGGGAGTACCAGATCATTCTGGAAGGGTCCTGGCAGTTTCCCTGGAGTTACTAACTCTCTTTTTGGTTGTTTTCCCAGGGCCTAATTTTGTCTTCAACTTGTACCAAATCCGGTGAGTAGATACAGAGCTGATCTGGGTGGGGTGTGCACTGGGGGTTAAGTATGATGAAGAAAGACTCAAAGATGGAGCCAGAACTTACTGTTTCCCTTCCCATCTCCTTTCCGTACCCCTACACAAACCAAATAGAATCCATTTGGAAAAGTTCCATGAAAAACTTGAGCATAGAGAGAACCATGTGAGATCCTAATGACAGTGATCCTCTTAGCAGGGATCATTCTCAGGCAGGGAACGTCCATCCCTCTATCCATCCACCCATCCCTCTATCCATCCACCCATCCCTCTATCCATCCACCCATCCATTCATCATTTATTTGGTAAGGTTCTAGTGTGGCCGGTATTGTGGTATGCATTCCTAAGGGGACAAAGGTGCCTAGGTATTCTCTCTGTCCTCAAGCATTTCACTGTCTATGCCGGAGACGCTGTGATCATGAACAATGCCATCTTTGGCACAGTATGGTGTTAAAAGAGGAGCAATGAAAGAAAGAGAAGAGGGGAGCTGGAGTCAGAAGGTCCTCTTGGGCTGAGTCATCTCATCTATTTCCTGCAGTCCTGCTCCTCCTGGCCTTGAGAAATGGGACTAGTCCTATTCTGGAAGATAGGTCAGTGAGTCAGCTACCTGGAGATGGCCCCCACAGCCAGGAATGTCTTCCTATGTCTAGTCCAGGGATACGCAGCCCCAGGGAGAGGCTGGGTTCTCAGCTCTAGGAGCTTAATAAGATAACCTTTCTCAGGACCCTGAAGGATCTGGAAGTGGGGCCACCCTTCACCATCAGTGGCCATATCAGCAGTCCAGATGGCGGCTACATGAAGTTCTCCAACGGGCTAGTCTGACGGGGGCAGCACCTGGCTTCTAGAGCCTGGGAGAGGTGAGTGAGAAGCTGCAGAACTCCTGAGTGAATCTCAAGTCCAAATAAAGCCCTAAGGGGGTCCAGGCACCCATGCCCAGCGCCAAGGACCACTCAAAATTCAGAGATGATTTAGTGCCTTCTTTCTTGCTGGAAGAAGCCTCACTAGGTGACATGGTTTAGAGGAACCTTCTCACACCTCTTCTCTTTCCCCCTTCCTTTTCTTTTCTAGGAACAGACTCCTGGCTTAGCTCCTGACCATCCTGGGCTCTCCTGGGCTGCTCTCCCTCTTCTGGGTCCTCAAGACCTGGCCTGGCCTCTGAAGGTGGAGGATGAGGAGTCTTCTTTGGATACTTCACTAGCCTGTGACCTGAGAGTCCTGGGGAGAGTCAGGCCTCTGGGGAGGGACTGGCCAGGTGGCAGCAGCCTTCTCACAGGAACCAGCGAGGAGGCGGCCACCCCAGGGAGAAGGACTGGACTCCAGGAGGCCCTGAGCCTGCAGGAGTTGCTGAGGCGTCCTGAGGAGCCAAGCCACACCCTACAGTGTGGGAGGAGCCCCCAGACTCCAGAGGGAGCACCTCAGGTGGCGGGTCCCATCACTTTCTCTTATAGGGTTGACACCAGGGGCTGGAAAGACAGTCATATCTTCACTGGGCAAAGTTCTATGGAAATAGAGGTGGGACTCCAGACAGGGTTTTTTACCTTCCCATCAGAGGACAACTTCTCTGAAGACGGAGTTCAGCCTTTACTCTGCCCTGCCTCCCTCTATGCTTCGTTCTGGCACTTTCCATTCTTTCCCTGGAATTGCTGCCCTCTACCCGGCTCTACTCCCTGCCCTGGGCCCGCTCTCCCTCCATGACAGGCCTCAGTGCCTCCCGAATGTGGTTAGCTCTCAATTTTGATTGGTAGTTCTGAGAATAGACTAGAAATGTCCCAGTAGCCTGGGCTCCTGCGCCAGGGTGGGCATGGGGCACAGGGGACAGTATCTCCCAGTGCCCTGGGTTTCCTGAACCAAGTAGGCCCTGGGAAGCAGAAAGTGGTAGAGTGGTGGAGTGGAGAAAGCAGAAAGAGGAACCCAGGCGAGGCTGAGGGAAGCAGATAAGAACAAGAGAAAGGAAGAAACAGCTGTCACCCGAGGACAGCAGGACAATGTGCCTTGCCAGTCATAACTCCTTCCTGTAGAGGGACCTACTGGGGCCAGAGGCGGAGCTGGCCCTGGGGTGTTGACCTAGTCGGTCCTTGATGATGCTGTTGTTCTATCCAGAGGGGGTGAGTCCCCAGGCAGCTGTGGATGGAGCAGGACGTGAGAGGGGATCCTCACATCAGCAGCGGTGGCTGTTGAAACCTGCTGACACAACTACAGCCCTGGCTTCTCTGCCATTGTCCAGCACCAAGGCCACTAGGAGCCCCAGGCAGCTGACTGGGAGGGGGAGAGGGGTCATGTGATTTATCTTCCTATCTTTCTTTTCCTGAGGCCTTGTTTCTTTCTGGTTTTGGGATCTAGCAGAGCAGAAGGAAGGAGAGTGGCCTTGCCAACCCCTCCCCCCTCATTTCCTGTCAGGGGATTCCTGCGTCATCCTCCACGTAACCAAGCCTTGACTTCATAAACACAGTCTTTTTGGAAGACTTTACTGGGTCTTCTACCTCTGACTAGGTGGGAGTGGAGAAGAGCCCTTAATGGCTTTGGATTCCCTCTCTTCCTTGAAGGTCTCTTGGGAGAAATGGAGAAAAGGAGACGGATTGACTTTGGCTTCCTTCTTCCTTGGATCTCAGCTCTGAGAACTAGACCCACAGGTCCCCCTACCCACTTTAGTACCAGACATTGAACCCAAGGATGCTTAACCACTTAGCCATGTCCCCAGTTCTTTCTGTATTTTATTTAGAGACAGGGTCTCACTTACTTGCTGAGGCTGGCTTTGAACTTGCAATCCTCCTGCCTCAGCTTCCCAAGCTGCTGGGATCACAGGCATGCGCCACGGCACCTGGTTTAGACCCACAGTTTAACCTATAGGGTGTCCATTCCTGGTGACGCTTTCAATCATGCCCTTCTCAGTGTAAATCCGGGGTCTGCAGTCCCTGCAGGGCTGCTCAAGGGTCCCTGAAAGTGCTCTGGACCCACCAGCTTCAAGGACACTTGAAAGGAGGTTGGGGCTCAACCCAGTGGTCCTGGTCCCAGGCCTGGTGGCTTCAGGAGAGGATGCAGGAACAGCTGCTGAGGACTGGGAGAATGGAGGGTATTTCCCATCCTTGGGAGCGGAACTGAGAGTGGGCTGCTTCCTCTTTTGGGGCCTTCTGACGTGCTCCTTGTCCCCTCTCCTCCCCCATCATTTTCCTTACTTCCGCAGGCCCAGCAGAGCTTTCTTGGCCCCCCCTGGCCCCACCCTAGGACTCCACATGTTTCTGTTGAGGACTCTGAAGGGCCAGATTCCCACTTGCTCATAAATAAGAGAGGAGAACTTCCTAGAAATCAAGGCTACAGGTCTGTGGGCTGGGCCCTGGCTGGGCGCCCAGCCCTTGCTGTGCCAGGGCCTCTGCTGCACCATCTCCCTCCCTCTTCATTCCTTCAGGCCATAGCAGATGAGTCGAGACGCAACCTTGGGAGCCTGCGGTACTGTGGGCTGCCCACTCCCAGGTCCTCTCCTGGTCAGGGCTGTTCCCCAGCCCGGAGTGCCCTCTTATCCCCCACCCGCCCCTGCATAGTGTGGCTCAAGTCCCATTTTTCCTGCAACTCTTCTTAGGACTCGAGACTCAGATACCACCCCTTTTGATCCTGGTTGTAGAGGGCCGTGTTTGCTCCATTTGTCTTGTTCCCCAACCAAGCTGAGCCCTTTGCGGGCAAGGTTAGGTCCTATAGGTCTCTAGGGGCCCCTAAAACTGAAGCACATAGAGGTGCTCGATAAGTGCTTGTGGAGTAAAGAGGAAACAGCGAATATAACCTTGAAAATCGGCCTTGTCCTAGAAGAGGGAACTTTTTTTCCCACTTGTTATTGCATTTTGGACATTGTGGCAACCCTGTGACACAGGAATTATGATTGGTCCCACTTTACATATGGGAGCTGAAAGGTTCCAAGAGGTAGCATGCTTTGCCTAAAGCTCCACAGCTGCTCACTACTGTCTGCACTGGAGCCTGAGCAGAGTCTGTGGCCTCCTGGATGCAGCCTGGCCTCCGGGCTTAGTGAGGTAAGGATGGAGCTCTGGAGAATAGAGTCTGATTCTGACATTGCCCTGCCATGCTATGTGTCCCTGGGTTAGTCACTCCACCTCTCTGGTCATCTATTTCAGCATCAGGAAATCAAAAGACTGGACTATTTCTTCAAGGATCCTCCTGGCTCTTACCTTGTCTTGCTTTTTAAAAATTCTCTGTATGCATGTTTAGCATAAGTGCTGTCACACAGTGGGTGCTCAATAAACAAAAGATGCAAGCACAAAGTATAGTCCCAATGCTCTCATTTATGAGTTGTAGTGGCTCTAGACCCCAATGGGCCAAGATTCTAACTGCTACTTGGGCATTGTCTGGACTTTGCTGAGATCTGCCCAGGATTGAAGACTAGACCGTTCCCAACCAAGCCACTCTTTCCCTGGAAGGAAAACACCAACCTCTGTGGGGCGGGCACACGTTGGTGCAGGGTGGGGTCTCCGTTCACACATCCGCACTGTAGCCTGCCAACCCCAGGGGTGAGGAAATAGGCTGAGAGCACAGTGAAGTGGTCTGCTCCAGGCCTGGAGAGAATTTACTCTCCTTATAACCCTTTGTTGCCCACCTGTACCCTCAGTCCAAGCCAGCAGTGACCCTGAGGTCCTTGGTCCCCAAGAAACCAGCCCCTGTCTCCAACAGGTCTCCTTTCTGTGTCCACTGCTACCATGAGCAGGACTCTCAGGCCTCCTGGCCCCATCTCAGCTCTGAGCATCTCACTGGCCACTCCTCGTTCTTCCTTTGGTTATCCATACCCTCCTTGACCCCGAGGCATCACCTTCTGCCCATCCTTCACGCCAGCTCAAATTTTGCTTCTCCAGGGAGCCGCCTCAAAAACCTGCAGCTCTTGTTCTCTTGTGATTTGAATCATAAACACTCTCTGGCTTCCATAACGTGATGATTTCCTTGTGCTCATTCATTCTTGCTCTCTCCTATTTGGGGGCCACTTCTTAGAGACAGAATCAGGCCTGATAGTCCTTCTGAGCTCTCTCTGGAGCCTTGCTTGGTCCTGGCCCTAGGCAGCAACTTCTCAGGAAATCAGGTGGAAAGGCTGCTCAATTTCTTCAGGGCATCTTTCGTGGGGCTTTTTGCCTGGCTCAGTCTTAGGTGTTCTGAAAACCAGCAATTTGATCTCCTCTCCACATCTTCACCCACATCCAACTCTGTGCTCATGAGCAGATAAACTTCTAGAGAAGGGCACTCACAGATGGTGAGGTCTTCTACCTAAGGAACAACCCAAGAGATGATTAAAACCGTGAGGATCCTGGCAGCTGAGGACGGGCTCTTTTACTCTGGGTTCTCCTTCGAGTCTTCATGGCCTTGCCCCATGGACCAGATGATGGGAACCAAGAGGGAAGCATGTATGGTGTCCTCTCTCTGCTCCCAGAGTCTGGGAAACTCAAAGTAGGAGCGCAAGGGAGTGTCAATATTATATTTTTAAAAATTTGCTTAGTGATCAAAAACCATCTAGAATTGGTGATATTTAAGCAGATTTGGTACAAAACAGGAAGCCAGTGGCCTGGTGAATTCTCACACTAGGGGACCAGAAGTGAAAATGTTCTGTGCCCAGAGTATCGGCAGAACAACAAAACAACAGGTGGGGCAGCACCGGAGGCCCACTGGGTGGGCCCTGCAGAGGTGGGGGTCGCTCCTCCCAAAGCTGGGTGAAGTTTCTCATATCCAATCCAAGCAAGGAGCCAGTGGGAGAAGGATGGGTGGGAAACTAGGAAGCCTCATTTTCTGTTCTAATCCTAGTTCTTCCTCTTGTAGTGGCTGGGCTCAGGCTCTCTGGGTCCCATATATCTGTTGTGCATACAGCTGCCATTGAACCTGAGGGTCTCAAGCTCCCTTCCAGCTCTGAGGCTATTTCAGAATATGGATAACCTCAGCTCCACGGTGCTGGGATCTGGGAAGGAGCAAGTGGAGAATGTGTGTGTGTGTGTATGTGTTTGTGTGTATGTATATGTGTGTTTGTGTGTGCTTTTTTGTGTGAGTGTGCATGTTAAAGTGTGTATCTTTGTGAGTGTGTTGTGAATATGTGTGGGTGTGTCTGTGTACATGTGTATGTGGTGTGAGTGTGGATAAATGTGTGAGTGTGTATGTGGTGTGAGTGTGCATATGTGTATGTGAGTGTATGGGTGTGTGTCAGTGAGTGTGTTTGTATGAGTATTGGTATGTATGTATGTGTGTGTATGTTTGTCAGTGTATGTGCAAATGTGTGAGTGTGTATGTGTGTGGAAGTGTGTGTGCATGAATTTGTGAGTGCTTGATACAGTGTATATGTGTGTGAATGCATGTGAGGGCGAGGGTATATATGTGTCAGTGTGTACATGCACATGTATGACTATTGCATATTGAGTGTGTATGTGCATGAATGTGTGCATGTGTGTGGGAGTATGTGTGCATGAGTGTACATGTGTGTATGGGTATGTGAGTGTATCTGAATGTGTGTGTGAGACTATGCATATGTGTATGTGTGCTTGGGTATGTCAGTGTAGATGTGTGTGTTAGTGTGCATGTCTTTGTATGTTTAAGTGTGTATGTGTGTGCCTGTGTGTGTGAGTTTGAGTTTGTGTGTGAGTGTGCATGTGTGCATGAGCATGTATGGGTGTGTGAGTGTTCATGAGTGTGAAAGGGTGTATATATGTGTGAGTGTGTGAATATGTGTATGTGTGTGAATGTATATGTGAGTGTAAGTGTTGTGAGTGCATGTGAGTCTGTATGAGTCTATGGGTGTGCACATATCTGTGTAAGTGTGTGTGTGCATGTTAATGAGCATGTGAGTGTGTATAAGTGTGTGCATGTGTATGGGTGCATTTATGAGTGCAAGTGTGTGGAATGTGTATTGTGTGTGAGTGTGCATGAGAGTATGTGAGTGTATGAGTATGAAAGGGTTTATTTATATGTGTGAGTTTGTGAGTGTGTATTAGTGTATGTGTGTGTGAGTATGTTTCTGTCAGTGTGTATGTGTGCCAGTGTGTGTGAGATTGAGGGTATGCGTATCTGTGTGTGTGAGATTGAGGGTGTCTGTGCATGCGTGTGTGCATATTTGCATGTGTGTGTGTGCTTATGTGTGCGTGTGTGTATAGGTGTGCACAAATGTGTGTGAGTGTGTAAAGTTTGTGTGAGTATGAATGGGTGTATCTATGTGTGGGTGTGTGAGTGTGCATAAGTGAATGTATGACTATTGCGTATTGAGTGTGTATGTGCATGAAGGTGTGCATGTGTGTGGGAGTATGTGTGCATGAGTGTACATGTGTGTGAATGTATGACTATTGCGTAATTAGTGAGTGTGCATAAGTGTATGTGTGTAAATGTATGACTATTGCGTAATTACATGTGCAAGTGAGCTACACCCCTAGCCCTTTCTTAAAAGGATACCTTGGTTTTGAGACAGTGTCTTCGTGTGCTGCCCAGGCTGGTCTTGAACTCCTGTGTTCAAGTGTCCCTGCTGCCCCAGCATCCCACGCAGCTGGGGTCACAGGCATGCCACCATCAATCACACCCTACCAAAGTAGATGCACACCTCCCATTCCTGCTCAGTCCTGTGCACTAATGACCACATGCTATGTGTCCTTCCTGAATTGTTGGAACCTTCCAGAGTCCATCCATTCTTTTAGCACACTTCTATCAAGCACTTGCAGGGCACCTGCAGGGTTGGGGACTGTGAGCAACGCAGCCCAGAGGTCACCTGCCTACTCCGGGCTTGCTGCAGGTGTGGAGGCTGTCCCTGGGGGAACTTGGTTTAAGAGATGGCAGAGTCCCAGGCAGTGAGCAGGCAGGTGGGGTGTCTGAGGTCAGGCGGCAGGGGATCACGGTGAGCCTGCAGTTGTGCTATGAATGGACCGGAATGCCCCCTTCCCCTGTGGGTAGGTGAGTGGCAGGGGTCAAGGTAAGTCCCACAGACCAGCTGTCCCTCACCCAGCTGGCATCAGGACCTCCCTGGGGGCCAGGGTGGGACCTACCCCGCCCTCACTAATACATGGGCAGTATGTCCCCCAGATGACAAGGGGACCCCAACCTCCATGGCTCTTGGAATCCAGAGCAGACCCTTCTGTGGCCCAGCCCTCCATCCTCTGGCCTTTCTCTCTCCACAGTCCCACTTAGCTGCCCATTCCAGCCACACCAGCCTCCAAAGCCATCTTGCCATAGTCCTTTGTACCTGCCACACCCTCCACCAAGGAGGGGCCCCACTTTGGTCACCCTTCTTCCCATCCCGGGTCACAGCTCCATGGGCTGCTGCTTGTCCTGGCCTGGCTCCCCTGTTGCTCACACTCCTGAGGGACGGGAGCCTTTTGCTAGGGCAGACTCTGGGCCCTTCTTGCTCTTGCTGTGTCCCTGCACCCAGCACAGAGCCCGACATGCAGCAAAGCATTGGTACAGGTTGGCCGAGATGAAAACCAGAACCCCAGTGCCAGCGGGGTGGGTAAGGTGGCTTCCTCAGTCTGACACCCGTCCCCACAGGAGAAGGAGGAGGAGGAGGAGGAGAGCCCCCCCCCCCCGGAGCAGCTGGAGCGCAAGAAGGAGACACAGCGCCTGCTGGAGTAGGAGGACTCGAAACTCAGGGTGGCAGGGCCCCCAGGAGGCCCCCAATAAGGTCATCTGTGCCCAAATTGAGGACACAGTGCATTGGGATGGTCAGCACAGGGAGGCCCCAGACACAAGTGGGCTGCCTCCCACTCTGGAGTGGCCCTTTTGGCCTTCTGTGGAGGCTCCCCTGGGTCTGCTTCATAGTGAAGGGTGGCTGAGAGGGTCACAGCAGGGCTGATGTGCTCTGAGAGAAACAGGGAAGTCACAGGTGTGTGCATGCACTGATCTGCCAGGGGTGCTCCCCAGGGCATTAGTGGGATGTCCTGAGGCTGAAAAGACCATAGCCCTGTGTTCCTGTGTATGTGTGTGTGGTTTTTGTGTATGTATGCGTGTGTTTGTAATGTGTCTGTATGTGTGTTTGTGTGTGCTTATGTATGTGTTTGTGTGTTTGTATTTGTGTGCATGTGTGTTGTGTGTGTGTCTGTGTATTTGCATGTATGTATGTGTATGAGTAATGTAGAACTGCGCCGAGGAGGAAAAACAGCACATCTGGTTGCCCGTTGTATTCCCAGAGGGTGCACCCAGGCTAGATATTCAGTGCCAGTTTGCTCAGAGTGAATGACTGTGTGCCAGATGTTTTCATGATCGTTTGCCTGTCTTCTTGGCCATATCCCCTCACTTCAGGCTTCCTGTTTGACTGTGGCCC